GTTAGTTGTTATAGTAATACTCGGCTTTTCTTCCAATCATTCTCTCCCTTTGCCATCTTACTTGAACCTCTATGATGAATTCTGCTATATCCCTTAAGTGGTTGGATTCCCTTAATCGGTGACCACAATCTTCCTATCCTTCTTGGGTTCTTGCTGTCGCTACAGGCTATTTATTACATTACATTATAGAGGGCGCTAGTTTTACAGATATCTCAGGAACAACAGCAAGAATAATAAAAGATAGGTAGAACCTTCACGAAGACGTCACTTACCACACATTTTGTAGTCAGTGCTTCAGCAGAAAACAAATTCGGAACGTTTGCTTTATTAATAAGTTCCGACAAATTAATAATTTTTTCCATACTTTATTCTCTGGAATAAATAACCAACAGATATTACGGATAACGTGAGCTATGAGCACTACATAAACCTCAAAAATAACATTTTTACATAATGTTTGGAAGAAATTCATTAGGAGACGATTCATTCATCTTTTTTTGATAGAACGATAGCTGATGTCAAATGATGGCAATAGTCGAAATAACTACGCTTTTAAACACGAGTTTGTGGCGAAGAGTCTATTGTTCAGATTTCAGAAACTAAGGAAGAATGATGTCTGGAGAAATAATTGGAATGGTAGCCTCAAAGTATGACTGACTTAGACTACTACAGTAGATGAACTTTTATGATTATATTCATGTTCTCTTATCTTTCCCTTCCAGAATACACATCTAGTTTTTAAAGTACTTTCTCATTGAAAACACTGACTCGATCTTCGTTAATATATCGATTTTCTTCCATTCTTTTTAGATTTCTACCAAAGAATGTATTCGAGTGCACGAAAATTTAACATGAATTGTTTTTTCTTTTGTTCAATCACAAGTGTAGCGCGTACCAAGATAAATTTCATAAAATAAATAATTGTTGAAATGAAATGAAGTGAAAATAGCCAAGGCAGAGCAGCGGTTATTGAAGCAGCAGAAGCACTTTTGCCACTTTTACTCGATTAACAAATAAACTATTATCGACACTTCAAAAAAAGTTTAGAAAAAAATAATAATATACCACAAACGTGCTGCATATTACTCCTAATAATGAAGTTTTCCGTTGAATTGCAATCAATGTTGGTTCCACTGATCCATTATAGACTGGAAGAAATAAAGAATATTGAATCGAAATAAAAGATATGTGTAGCACTGATTTATTATCGATTTCTAATAAATATATTTCGCTTTATCTTAGTTTTTGTTGTGTATTTCGTTTTACGATAGATATTTTTTAGTTAAATGTCAAACTAAATGATGGTGGCTCTAGTCAAATAATTATTGATGACGTGATGAATTGAGAATAATTTAATTAGATCTGTAGATATCCTTTAGGTGCAACACTGTTCTATGATTTTTGTTTAGTGAATATAGAATCAGGATGATAATTTAAGCTATACACTATTCATTGAAATCTATCGACAGAAGAAATGTGATGTGTCAGAAGTATTATTGTAAATTTACCAATTTCTAACTTGTTGTATCGAAATACGTTAACGACTTCTAGTTTGTATAGGTAAATGCTTAAGATAGATCTTGGTTCTGGTAAAGTCTTACAATTAAGGTATCCTCAAAAGTTTGTACTAACACTAAATGAGTTTATATTTTACTATTCAAACTTTATAATTTGTTCATAGTTCCCGTCTTCGAATGAACTGGCTTTAAACTAGAGAAAAACTGAAGAAGCTATTAGGTAGTCAGCGTTTATTGTAACTTTTAAAATATACTTTCTATATTTTAGCATTACGACTCAACGTTAGTTTTAGCTTTTTTTTGTTGACAGTATTGAATCCTTTTTTATTTGATGGAGATAAAAAATGAACTTTATACTTTTGAATCACTTCAACATACATTAGTTTTTGTTTAGACGTTCAAATGTTTGTTTTACGCAGAATATTATATGAAATTTTTTGATGATGCAATGTGCAATGTAAAAGTAAAAAATAATTTTCTTCGAATTCGGTGTTTTTATGCCAGTTTTTCGATCCATTATGGAAAAATACGATCGATTTAACTGTATAAACCATTAGTAAAACGATTAATTAGTTCGACTATTTATTGGCAGACGGTTCTAGAAATTCATCATGTTTTATTTCTTATCTTTTTATTTATCATTCTTAAATAATTGTAGTTTAGCATAGACAATATCAAAAGTATTGATATCTGAATCGCGATCTGTTTTTAGACCGTCATGAACAATATGAACGTATTGTGAGAAATTGAACATGGGAATATGTTGTGGTCACTGTGATTAATATTGATAGTATCGATATTGATCAAAATCAATCGTTGGCTGTGAGATAGGGTTTGATGTAACCGGATCTATGTGTTTTATGAATATTTTTAGGAACTTTTGTTTGATTTTCCTATGACGTAGACAACATAAACGTTGCTTTATAGCAAATAACTTTTGTCGTGTGCATTTTCTTTTATTTGTACACAAATACAAAGGACATTTTACCTCCATTTTAGATTATTTTATATCTAAACAAATGGCTCGTCTTAACGATGCAAGCCGTTTTATTCGCGGCCTAAATAAATTGAACCAAGAGATATTCAAACAAATTTTGAACAATTTTAAAAGTACTAGTCTAACAAACAGACCACCATCATCTGTTTCCGAAGGAATTTCAAATAGTTTTAACCAGCTTCAATCATCGATAAGTACATTGAGTTCAACGGATACAATAAATAAAACGTTTTGGAAATCAAGTATACTCGTTCGTCAAACAGCGATTGCCTTAACGGCTGCTATTCGTTCTTCTCCTTCAACTTCCGAAAGACCTTTAACACAAACACAAATTACAACCGATCCAATTCCAATACCGCCACATTCAGACACAACGACTACCACTTCTCAAATACAAGAATTTAGTAATGATATCAGCTCTCAAACATTCTCGACATCTATAACTCCACCACTTTCTATTGAGCAGCAACCGTCAGCTTCAAAACCACAGACTTTTTTCACACCATCACAAGTACCCCTAACAACATCATGTAAGTTACATTAATTCTACCTAGCTGATTTCACACAAAGTTCTTTTTTTTTGTAGCTGATCTGAAGATTCAGCCACCAGTAACACCAAAGCCATCTGATATATCTTCTACCATTGAAAAGCCCTCTATTCAGTTTGATCCGTTGAAACAAGTAGATCCAACAATATCGAATCCCGATGCACAAGCTCGTGCTGTACCGACATCGCGATTTGGACGTTTAGCTAGTTTTGGTTCATTAGCTGCCGGTTTGGGTTTAGGAGCCATGGGACAATTTGTTCGTCAATCTGTAGGATTAGAACAACAAGCGTCATCACAAGCTGTACTAAGTCCATATTTATCAAAAGCAAATGCCGAACGTATTGTTAATACATTGTGCAAAGTACGTGGTGCAGCGTTAAAATTAGGACAAATGATTAGTATTCAAGGTTTGTGAAAGATATGGTTGCTTTCAGCACAAAAAGGTGGACAGTCTTCTTGGAACACCTTTTCAGTCAAACCGAATAGATTGAACTTAGTTCCACTTCGGAACTAAACGTTATCAAAAACATATCCGATCATTATCCGTTTTCTTATTTATTTTAGATAATTTTCTAGTCCAAGATGATGTTCAAAAAATTTTTGAACGTGTTCGACAAAAAGCAGATTTTATGCCTGAATGGCAAATGAACGATGTTATGTTAAATGAATTTGGTGCTAATTGGCGAGAAAATTATTTTTCAGAATTTAATGAACGTCCATTTGCGGCTGCATCAATTGGCCAAGTGCATTATGGTGTATTAAAAGAGAGTCAACAGCGTGTGGCAGTTAAAATTCAATATCCCGGTGTAGGAAAATCGATTGAAAGCGATATTAATAATTTAGTAACATTGTTAAATTTTTGGAATATAATACCGAAAGGTTTATATATTCAAAATGTTATAACTGTTGCTAAACGTGAATTGAACTGGGAAGTAGATTATGCACGAGAAGCCGAATGGTGTAGAAAATTTCAAAAATTTATTATTAAGCATCCTACCTATAGGATACCTGCAGTTATCGATGAACTATCAACAAAAAATGTTTTAACGTGTACCTTTCTTGATGGAGTATCATTGGATCGTGCAGTTGACTATGATCAATCGACACGTGACCATATCGGTCATGCTATACTAGAATTATGCCTACTAGAACTATTTAAATTCAAAGCAATGCAAACTGATCCCAATTGGTCTAATTTTCTTTATAATCCTAGTGATCGAACAATTGGTCTAATTGATTTTGGTTCAGCACGTGAATTTGATGATGCATTTATTGATAATTATATTAATTTGATACGCGCAGCAGCAGATAACAATAGCGAACGGGTTTTAAAATTATCAACTGAAGGAGGGTTTCTCACCGGTTATGAGACAAAAGAGATGGAAGAAGCGCACGTTCGAGCTGTGATGATATTAGGTGAAGGTTTTCGAACATATGAACCATTTGACTTTGGTATACAAAATACAACGCAGAATATTCATCGTTTATTACCTGTTATGTTGAAACATCGTTTAACGCCACCACCAGAAGAAACATATTCGTTACATCGAAAAATGGCCGGTGCTTTCCTTCTTTGTTCAAAATTACGATCAAAAATTCATTGTAAACCAATATTTGAAAAAATATGGGCAGAATATCAAAACGACCATGTGAAATTGAACGTAACTGCGTAGAAGCTATACATCATGGTGAGATTTCATGATTTTCTTAGCTTTTCAGTTCTCAACTATACCAGCAGCTAGTAAACTACTCTGGACGAGATTCAGACTAGGCCATTGCACAGTATGTTATTCATGCGATCTTCGTGTAAAAGAAACACGTCAGAAACCATTATTTTGTTATTTCAAACAAATTGTCTAACAGAATGTGATTATGCAGCAGATTCAAACCTTTTTTAATTTTTTTGGTGTATTTTTCTATATTGTATTGTTGGACATCGTATAAAATACTGAAAGTATTATAATTTCAGTGTACAGTAAACTTTTGACTTAGAATCAAAGGGAGAAATTTGATTAGTTATCTCTCAGTGAGAATGACGGTCCGAAAAATTATTAAAAATGAATACTGTGAGTTCGCATAATCAAAATATGTCTGTTTTTCTTTGTGATTGTAGATCATCTTCCTATGCTTTTGTTCACTGGTGTTCGATTAATTCTCTTTCGAAATTCACCAAATGTTTTCTTACGTGTAACATCAACGTCGTATTTTTCCAATAATAAACAAAATTTCTTCAATCATGTTCCTATAAATCGTAGAATATTTGATATTGTACCAAAACGTTATCATCCCTATTTACATTTATCTCGATGGGATAAACCAACTGGTTCATGGTTATTATATTGGCCAGGAGCATGGAGTATTGCATTTGGTGCAACATCTTTGATACCTGATATACGTCTACTATGTTTATTTGGCGTCGGTGCTGTGCTGTTAAGAGGTGCTGGTTGTACAATCAATGATTTATGGGATAAAGATTTTGATCGTCATGTTGAACGCACAAAAACACGTCCACTAGCTACTGGACAATTAACAACGAGTCAAGCAGTGACATGGCTTGGTATACAATTATCACTGGGATTTCTTATACTAATACAACTTAACTGGCCATCAATCGTTTTAGGTGTTTTATCGCTCATACCTGTCCTGTTTTATCCAACAATGAAACGTTTTACATATTGGCCACAATTCTTTTTAGGTATGACATTTAGTTGGGGAGCGTTGATGGGCTACACAGCGGCAACAGGCACTTTAAATTTAGCGATTATTATCCCATTATATTTTGCTGGTATAGCATGGACCCTTCACTATGATACAATCTATGGCCATCAAGATAAATCAGATGATATTCTAATTGGTGTTAAATCAACAGCTTTACGTTTAGGAAATGACACAAAATTATGGTTACGAACATTTTCGACCGTAATGTTATCTCATTTATTAACAACAGGGCTTGTTGTTGGACAAACATGGCCATACTACCTCGGTTTAGTAGGCGTTGGCTATCATTTACATAAACAAATTGAAACAGTAAATTTGAATGACGCATCATCTTGCTGGAAGGCATTTTCGTCGAATCGGATCACTGGCTGGATTATATTTGGAAGCATATTGGCAGGAAACGCTTTACGTTAGAAATTGTTTTAACTCACTGATCGTTCTCTCACGAAGTTTGCTAACAATTTGGAGAGAACAGTTTGATCCTAATTGTGTTTATCTAGCGATTTTGAGCACATTTTTTATGTATGTTAATAAAGTACTTTGTATAAGCTCGATTGATCGAAGTAATATTCTTTACCATTTCCCCTTTCGAACTTCTTTCGAACTTGTTAGGATAGTTTTCATATTTTTCAGATGAATTCTTTATTTAAATCGATTTCAAGTCCAAGATCAGCATTATTTACAATTCAAAAGCGGTGCGTGTAATAAAATCAACAATAGAAAATATTCACAATTTCTTTGGTTTTTTATTTAAGAACTCTGTTTGATGTTCAAAATGTTTGGGGACGTACAACTGTTGACACTCAAAAACCAGAAATTAGTGGATCATTGACTGAAATGCCACGACAAAATGTATGTATTTAGTTTTATTTTAATCATAGTCACATCATTGGCTCTTGTTTTTTTTTAGGAAGCAGTTGCACCATTGTCTGGTGTTCCGGCATCAATTTTGAAAGAACGTCGGTGTCGTATATTCGTTCCGGCTCGCAATGCCATGCAGTCTGGCACAAATAATACGAAAAAATGGAAAATTGAATGGAACTCACAAGAACGTTGGGAAAATCCTTTAATGGGATGGGCATCGAGTGCTGATCCACATTCATCTCTCATGGTTGATTTTTCGTCTAGAGAAGATGCAATAGTCTATTGCGAACGAATGGGTGGGTAAAAAAACTTATTTTTTAATCATAAATTTAAGTTCATTGTTTTCGTATGTTTAAAGGTTACAAATATGAAATAGTTGAACCGCCACCGGTAATAAGACTCAGAAAAGCATATGGAGCCAATTTTTCATGGAATAAAAAGACAAGAGTTGGAACTAAATGAAAAAACTTATACGTTTATGATATGCTGTCTTTTTATATAACCTGTATAATAGATTTTGATTTTTTTAAAATGAACTATTTATTTTCATTTTTTTTTGGACAAATATTTTCATTGGCAATTATTCGGTTATGATCAAGGAAAATCGTATCTGAGAGTTTAAAGGCTCTGTCTCTATTTCAAACACGGCTGATGTATTTTTTCTAACGTCGTGTAGATGAATTAGAGGGAGAAATATTACACTACTGACTAAGCTAGAACTAGAAATCCGTAAGACGATTGCGTAACAAATAGGATGAATGTATTGAGCGACAGAATCTCTACGAATATTATTATAATTCAATGAATCTGTTGAGACTTTACTAGAAAAAGGAGATATGCAATCAATTCAACTAATGAGTGGTTAGTTGTACAAAATGTAATTGTACAGAATGATTCGTTCTATTACATGTACTGTGGTTTTTTTTCCTCAAAATTAGTCTTATTTCTTTGTTTGTAGTATTTAGGTATTTTTATCTAAAGATAGGTGCTAAGCACCGTTCGAAACGAAAAGACATCTATATAAGATCTTTTTTTTCTGTTTCTATTCGATAATTTTTAAAATTAATTTGAATATGACAAGAACAGAAATGATACGTCGATCGCTCCAAATTACATATTTTTCACTTTTATTATGTTCATGTTTTGGAACATTGACACAAAAGTAAGTTAATATTTCAATACGATTCAATTGGATTCAGATGTTGAAATTGTTCATACATGTTTTAGTTATCAGCTAAGTGATAGTTATCTTCAGATACTTTTCAAGTAAGTAACGAAATAGAATATAAATATAAAACAGTTTAAGATTGTCATTATAAGCTAAAGTTATAATTTTATCTTTAGAAATTGGATAATTGATAATGATCGTGAATATCCATCAGTTGCAGAATATCAATATCGTATGACAATATTTAAAGATAATTATATAAAAATTCTTAAAATGAATGAAATTTTTGAGCAAGTATTTTTTAGTAAATATTTTTTTGCTTAAAAAATTCTCATTTACCATTCTTTAAGTGATGATATGTTATTCGAAGCAAACAAATTTGCTGATATGACTGAAGAAGAATTTGAACAAAAAATTCTAATGAAACCTCAACCACCACCAATACACTCTCAATCACGGTAAAATATAAATTCTTTTTTTTATTAAATAGTCTTTTTTTTTAACTATTTATCATCCAGGTATATTCATATTTCTGACGAGATTAAACAACAGTTACCAGATGATTTCGATTGGCGAACGAAGAATGCAGTTACACCGGTGAAAGATCAAGGTTGGTTTTGATCGGAACAAGCTAAGCTAACACAAATATATTTTAATTATCTAGGAAAAAACCAAAGTACTTAAACATTTCAAAAAATATGATATGAGCTCAAAAAATTTGTCTTCACTTGTTAACTCAACAAAAAATAGTTTTTTGTCAAAGGAATTGTATTATTATTATTATATGAAATTTATGTTTTAGGAACTGTTGGTACATGTTGGGCATTTAGTACAGTTCAAAATATCGAAAGCCAGTGGTTTCTTCGTAACAATGGTTCGATGTTGACAAATTTATCGGTTGAACAAATTGTGGATTGTGATGGAACACAAAAGTCTGATACGTAAGTTCTATCATAAAAATAAATGAGAGATCAATACGTATGATATATTCTCATTTTTTATCAAGTTTACAAGCGGACTGTGGTGTTTATGGAGGATGGCCATTTTTAGCATTTCAATATTTAATTGCTCAAGTGAGTTATTTAAGATATTTTTAACCTGAATGATATCACTCTATTTATTTCTAGGGTGGAATTGCTGATGAGGCAAGTTACAGTTATTGCGCTGGCATAAAATCACCATGTGAACCGTGTAACGCGCCTGGTTACAATAAATCGTTGTGTGGACCACCCATACCATTCTGTTACCTTAAAGACAGTTGTGAATCAAAACTTGATCTAGCAAAATTTGTTCCTGGTCTTAAAATTGTAGACTGGAAAGCAATTGAAGAAGTAAATACCTGAAAAAAATATATATTAGAAATATTTTCCTTTATATAGAAATGCGTCTATTTTTTCAGGATGAAGAATCAATTGCCGCAGCTTTAATAACCTATGGTCCATTGTCGGTTGCACTTAATGGTCTGATGTTACAATTTTATCATAAAGGTATCTTTAATCCGCTAATGTGTAATCCAAAAAATCTAGATCATGCTGTATTACTTGTTGGATTTGGTATCGAAGGTAAAAAGCCCTATTGGATTGTGAAAAATTCGTGGGGTGTAAACTGGGGTGAACAGGGTTACTTTCGAATATTACGGGGAAAAGGAGTTTGTGGAATCAATACACAGGTGACAACTGCTGTTCTTGAGTGAAATAAGTTCAAAGTGCTATGTCTTTCTTTATTTGTATATATTTTATATATAGTGATCTGTATTTTTGTACTATATTAAACCCTGCAAATGCTTCTGATGTTGTTGTTGTTGTTTTTTTATAATAAATTATATTTTTATAATAAGGAAACTGATAGAAGTTGAAAAAAAGTCAATACAAGTTTTATTTGGAACAGAAATATAAAATTTTTTATTTAGAAATACTGAGAATGTGATGAACTTTTATAATCAGTCGTCTTATATCTACATATTGAGCAGTTAAAGATTTTCAATTTGTATCTGATCAATTTTGAATAAAACACTACTAATCCTAACAGTCAGACGAGGGATAAAGCAAAAGAAACCTTGTACAACCATATTATCTAAAATATTTTTGCAATTAAACTTATTTGTCTGTTATTCAAATAATATATGTATATAATTGGAGAGAGAGAGACAGAGAGAGCAAAGATAAGAAAAAAGGCATATTTAGAGACAACAACAATAATAAACAATACGATGAAAGAAAAAAAAAACCGAACCCAAATATTTGGTGTATAAGGAAAGCAACACAGAGGACAAAAAAAAAACAACCGAAAATGCGTTTCAAAGACGAAAAATGTGTGTGTTTGCTTATGTTGATCATGTGAGGGTCTACAAAAAACCAAAAAGTTTGCGAGCGCTCAAAAAGAAAAATTTTATTTTATTATGTGCAACAAGAAAAAAAAATTTTTCACTTCGAAAACACACACACACACAAACAATCAGAAGTGCTCTACATTTGATACACAACACACTGTTATTGTACTCGAGAAAACAAGCAAAGAAAAGACAAAGATGGATAATTAATTTCAAAATAAGTTAGAATGAAAATGCAAAAACAAGTAGTCTTTTCTTTCTTTTCAGGTTAATTTCTGAGAGAAAGATGGCGAGAGAGATTAAGAGAAAAATTTGACTGAAGAACAAAGAGAAGTACTGATCGACATATACAGAAATAATTATATTTATAACGATTCTCATCAAATAATAGAAGAACAATTACAATTATTCTAACGTACGAAAAACGAAAAAAAGAACAGAAAATAATTGCCTTTTAGGCATGAGCAAAAGACAACATAACTACCCTTTCTAGGTGGAGAAGGTTCAAGGTTTCTTTTGTAATAGCATGTGTGTATGTGTGTGTCCAAGGGAGTTAATGTAGTATAAAGGCCGACGAAGAGAGAGAAAGAGAGGGAGAGAGAGAGAAAATAAAGAAAAACACTAGAAAAGACAAAAAAAAAAGAAGACGAAACTAAAAAATAAATTGAAAAGATCGACTCATGATCATCATATTGGGGATGTGAAAGAAAAAAAATAAATAAATGAATCACAGTTTGAGTTCGTTCGCGATTTTACTAGCTAAAATTGAGGAAAAACACAAACATTATTTTTAACTGAAATTGAACTTCGTATTAAGATATAATTTTTACTTACCGATATTTTTGAAACCAATACTGGTACCAGATATACGTTTAAATCTTACACCGTTCAACGACAGTCTAGGTAATTTACATACTTCCATTTCCCATGAGACAACACTATAAATAAAAAATAAAAAATCTTACTCATATTCAGAGAAAATTAAAAAAACAATTTTACCTGTCGGTATTTGGATCTCCATGTACACACAATAATAAAAATTTTTCACGCTGTTCATAATCACAATTATTCATATCAAGCACCTTTCGTATTTCTTTCATCATATCAGCTGGATCCATTGCACTTGTTGTTTTCATTGACCATGTAAATCTTAATGAACGTGGTTTTATTTCACCGGCAATAATGCCACCCACTGCCACATTCTCATTTCCATCTGGACGACGATATGATGACGATGCACTACTTGTACTTCCACCTCCAACACCACCCGTTCCCAATGTTGAAATATTTCCGGCACCCATGCTCATACCGGACGTTGGTGGTTCCCGAATAGATTTCCTGTAAATGCAAAACAATAAGGACTTGTACGTATATCTCAGATATGCAGTCTACTATTCTTAAATAGGTATTAAAGATTCTTTTCTATAGAAGGAGTGGCACATGAATGCGCTCCCATTTTTGTGTGTTTTCAGTTTCCATCATTCATTCTCAAACTATTGATGTAATTGAAAACGCATCAAAATGAGAGCATACTGATGTGAAGCCCCATTTTTTCTGTCTTACACAGCTATTCAATGATTTTAACATAACACAACGAGTTTCTGAAAAAAATAGCGAACATTAAATAAAAATCGTTAGCAATTGTCCTAAAATATCATGCTGGACTTAATGCTGTAACAATTTTACGATAAAAAACAATATCACAAAAAGCATTCCACACTTAAAAGCGTTAGTTTTTGAACACAATAACACGTGAAGAAAAAATCGGCAGATAGATAAGTACAAGATTCCTTGTAAGCAGTCTCATTCTATAAAGAAAACCCTATCCCCTAATCTGAATATTTGTGCATAAAAAATTATTTGCGTGTGTGTGTGTGTGTGTTACCTTCGTGCAAATTTAGATGAAAGTTTGCTGAGGAATGACTGTGCACCAGTTCCTCCCACTCCACTGATACCACCACCATTTCGATAACGTTCGTTAGAATCACCAAATGCCATTGTATTATTATTATTATTTCTTGGCGATATCATTATCGCCTGCATACGTGCACTTGGATCAAGACCCCCACCACCGCTGGCTCCGCCGCCGCCGGCTGTCGACGTTGTTGTCTGATAGTGCTGATGTGCTTGTTGTTGATTATATTGTTGTCGTGTAGGAAATGTACTATGAATTGTTTTACGATCAACAGCATGACGATCCATAGCCAAACCTCGTGTCGGGCTAACTAGACTGCTATTAGTCACAGATGGAGGCGTAGTAGTAGTAGTTGTAATAGAAGATGTAATAGTGGTGGTAGCGCTAGTACTCGCTGATGACGAAGCAGCAGCTGAAGCCAACGATGACGATGGACCCAAAGATGGTACAGGGCTACAATGGAGAAAGAAACGAGAAAAAATAGACTTCTGAGCCGTGCTTCTGTTAATAGAAAATGTCAATAAAGAGAGAGAGCGAGAGAGAAAAGACGATATCTTATTCAGGGGATGTTTTTCTTAGGAGCAGTGTTAAATAAAAGCAGTTTACATTATGTTATTTACTAGACTATATCGTTGAGCCATGCCGAGATGCCAGATTCGAAGAAAAAAAAGCTTCAGAAAAGTCGAAAGCGAGTTGATCAACGTCATTATAGAGAGGGTAAGCGGAGACATCATCTTTAGAAAAAATTAGCTTCAGCTTTGCTGTTTCGTATTTGTATCCATCGTAATCTTTGTCTATGCCGATGCCTTAACCGGTGATTTTCAAGTGATGAAAAGTACCAACCGTTGGGTGATTAACAATATACCAAAATTTTCACTCAGACACACAGACAAATGTAAGAAAATAGCAGTTTATTATTGAACAAGATGCAAAAAATTTGAATTTACAAGTTGGAATTATACTTTTACGTTTTCCACGTGTGTAGACTCTTCTTTATAGAAGAGTTTCGGAAAATGTTGTTTTGTTGACTGCTTCGATCTCAACTTTCTGATATTTTAAATCATATGAGTTTTAGCTGCCGTTTAAGAAAAAAAAGAAAACTGTGTTTATTAGTCGATTGGTTAAAATATATGCAAATGATAACATACGATTAAGAAAAAACATTCATTGCAATTTTGTGTTTTGGCATCAGCGTGAAACTTACTTCGAAGTTTGTTGATTTCCACTAGCATAGATTCGAATCGAGCCAGTTGTAATATGTTCTCCTCGACCAGCTGTCGATGAGTTAGCATTCGCCTTTCGTCTGAATAGATAGTCGTGGGAGTTTTTTTTTACGAATATTTCTTTCTCTCTCTTCCTCTCTTTTATTTGTTTTGCTCATAGTTTAAGATTTATTCCTATCAATTACCTTATTTTGTCTTGTAGTTTTGATGTGTGAGTCGAAGTTGAAGGATTAGCGGTCATACTCGCCGATTTAATATTGAACGGTTCACGTGCTGATGCGCGACCAGTTAAGTGTGATAGTGGCTGATCACCTGTCGATGATTGATTCGAATTGCGATTAAAACTAAACAACAAAAAAATTGATTAAATTAATGCAATTATGATTTATTGTTGGGATTTTGTTTTAGTCAAACCTTTGATGAGTAAAACGTGGAATACGACTTTCACCTCTAAGCGAATACACAAAAAGCATATGAAATACACGTAACAAAGAAGCAAGGGTTAGGTAACAAAAACAAAACTACAACTCACATATCACCACCACCACTGCCAATAGTTTTGTTTAATGTTGACTTTTCACCAGCTATATTTGCACCAATTTGATCAGCTTTTTTCATTCCATTTCCTCCACCAGATACAGAATCAAATGTTTCTCGTCTTCTTACACCAGTGCCTGGTAATCTTACTGTTTGTGATCGACCTTTTTCTGCTGTTATTCCCCGAGATGCTCCTCCACTCCCTGATGCTTGTCCACCACCGCCACCACTTGTGCTTGTTTTTAGTAATTGATGAGTATTTGTTGTTGACGTTGTCGTATCTATACTCGATGATATTAACAGTTGATTATTCACACCATTTGTTATTGTACCGCCAATACCGTTCACCATTGAATGATCCAAATTATTTGCAGCTGTTGCAGATGGCCGTTGTGATTTATCAGAATTTAATAACTGAATATTTTCTTTATTGTTACTTGTAAGTAATGAACTAACGTGATCAGAGACGGCTGCTGCGGTTGATGGACGATTTGTAGTCGTTTTTGTTGATGGTTGTTGTGATGACTGTTGGTTATTTGATGCATCGGTAACTCCTTTAGTAGATGTTCCACCAGATGTCGTATTATCTGAAAACAGAAAATCAAGTACAAAAGAACGTTAAACAATCAAACGCATGTACTTACTGTTTGGTCTAGCTGTAGTTGTGCGATTCACAGATAAACTACTTCCTAATTGAGATTCAGAGCCCTCAAGCTAAATGAAAATAAACCGTGATAAATTTGAGTGATTTAACGTTTATAAGACATACTTCTGATGATCGTAATCCAAGTAGAAGATAAAATGCCATAATATCATCGTATCTTCTCATTGTTAGTGACTCGAGTACTTGATCACGAGTATAATTTCCGTCACGAGTTATCATATCTAATATTAAAGACACAATACTATGAGATTTAAATCACACATGTGGGAGAGAAGGAAAATAATGAATGTAATTCTTACCTATTCTATGTGAATCAGTAAAATCTTGAGAAGGTTCTTCGTACGGTTTCAATTCGTCACTCTCAAAGCTGAGATTCATCCATTTATCTTTCATTATGTTCTGAAAAGTATAAATTAAAAAGAGATATAGAAAATCTTAAAATCAAATTTACTTTTGTTTTTTCTTACTTCAAGTGATGCACGACGTGCAGGGTTTAAAACAAGAAATTTTTTCAACAAATTTTCACAATCGGTTGACATATAAAATGGTATACGATATTTTCCACGTAATACACGTTCACGTAATTCCTATGAAAAATGTCAAAAAGTAGATAGGTACATTCATTTAATAATCTTAGTATGCTACTTACTTTCAAATTTTGTCCATCGAAGGGTAATGAACCGCTTACTAATGTATACAGAATAACTAAAGAGAGTAAACAAAGTTAAAAGATCTCTTAGACACTAATGTTCACGCATAAGCCATTTCTTACCTCCTAGGGACCAAGCATCTACTTCAGGACCATCGTATTTCTTCCCTGAAAAACAACAATGAGCATAGTGCTTAATAACTTGAAAAACTAAACTACAAATAATCCAACCTTGAAATAGTTCTGGCGCGGCATATGGAGGACTACCACAGAATGTATCAAGCTTACTACCAGGTGTAAATTCATTACTAAAACCAAAATCAGCTATTTTTATGTTTAATTCAACATCCAGTAGAAGATTTTCAGCCTAAAATAAACGAACAATTAGATCATGTTTGAATTATCATGTAGAATACACTCCTCAAAAAGAGACAAAAATAGATGATTCATTTCATACTTTTAAATCACGATGAACAATATGCTTTTGATGAAGATATTGAACAGCTGATACGATCTAGAAAAACAAAAATACAAATGTATACCATTTGTTGAAAATAAACGCTTGTTACCGACGAACCTGTCGAAACTTTGCTCTCGCTTCTTTCTCTTTCATTCGGCCATGAGCTACGAGATAATCGAATACTTCACCTAAAAATTTTTAACAGTTACTTTATCGTTATCAAATTGTTTACAAAACAGAAAACGAACATTCTTACCCCCACTAGCATATTCCATTACTAAATATAACGTTTTCTCGGTTTCTATAACTTCAAACAGTTTAACTAAAAAAGAAACATACATATATGATCAGATCTTGTAAAAAGTTTTCTAAGAACTTTAATAGTGCAAAAGAGAAAGAAGAGGAGAAAATTTGTGCAAAATATTTTACACTAACCAATATTTGGATGATCGAGTCCTTTCATTATTTTAACTTCTCGAAATAGCTAAAGTAAAATGGATGAAAACAATATCAAAAAAGCAATAACAAAAAGCAAAAAACCGAGAAGAATAAACTCATAGAAGAAAAAAATGTTTATTATACTTTTTGTAAACTGGTTGGATTTAATTGAGTTTTATCAATTATCTTAATTGCTACTTCTTTTCCTGTTGGTATATGTTTAGCTAATTTAACTTTGGCAAAATTGCCTTTTCCAATAGTTTTAATAAAACGATATTTGCCAATATGTGGTTCATTTGGATCACGCATTTTATTCGATGTTAAACGACTTCCACTCGTTGTGTTCTGGGTATTGTTGGTCGTCACTTGTGCTTCAGATGGTTTCTAAAAAAACACAAAATAAATGTGTTGTTTATACCACATTCTTCTCATTTTATCACTAAGTCGAAAGAGAAATGCCTTTTGAAATTTTATAGTTCCATTTTAGTTAAAAGAAAAAGACATTAAACGACAAGCCACTTTTTATCGAAAATGCTATTAAATTCCAGTGAAGAATATCCTATAACATGTTAGACAAAGGTTTCGTTTTACAAACAAGAAACATACATTGATTATTGTTCTGACAATGTTTATAAACTAAATGTAATACTAGAATAACAACAACAACAATCGAACCATAACCGATTATAAATGTGTGGGATCATAACAGAGATATGGGTAATTTTGATAATTCGAGGTCATAATATACATAAAAATTCAATAAGAGAAAAAGTTCCACAATTATCACATCATAACTGTATAAATATAAGAAATTCGTTTTATTTCTTGTTTCGTATGTGTCACTTGATTGTGTATATAACTTCTTTCTTTGTCTCTTTTTTGCTTTCTATCCTATTTGGTTCGACATTTCAAAAAAAACTTTTCTCTATTATTTGACGTTTCATATTAGAACAGGTACAACAGCATAGCAGAAAGTCGCAGTATTTTTCTTTTGTCATCTGTGAATAACAGGTCGAAGAACATATACCTCTAGACTTTCTATATACATATATATATATATATATACACGCACACACATACATCTTTCTATACATTAAATTTCTTCGGCGTTTTTTTTTTTGTCGTGTTCTTTCACACTAACACTTAGAACGAAGAACACTTAAACGGTCAAATAGTCCATGAACGCAGCGTGCAATTTCTCTTTTTTTTTTGTGGTTTTCAAAAAAAAAAAGTTCTTTTATAGTCCTAAATAAAAGTGTTCAGAAATTATATATTGGACTAGAATACGTGATGAAATATAGACTATATAAAAAGGAAGCGAAAAGAAAGAAAAATATTATTACATGTTCAATGACCACGACAAAAAAATATCGTGTCGATGGGGTATAATCATTAAATATTTGTCTAGTGAAATGTACATGCGTGTAATACAAAATAATAAAAAATAAAAAAATTTTTTTTTGGCATATTGCATCACATACGAATTCATCCAAATAATAATTATATAAATCCCCCTTTTGAGTGAACAATTGAAAATCTCTTAGTATTGGTACCAGACACTATGACTATTGAAAGAATCAAACATTCATATATTATTTGTTGATATGTCAGACAGTACAGTTACGTCTTTCTGAAGAACCCATTACGTTCCACAGCTAATTGCATAAAACAAACTTGAAACTCTTGTACTTTTGTCTAGGTTGGCTGAAAATTTTTTTCTTATTAGCAATTGCTAGCTTATGATGTCAACTTATGCTAGAAAATAATCCGTTTTCTTATCCGATGCCAGCGACGTAACTAGCACTAGGCCAAGGGTGGACCATGGCCTACCCCTTAGAAATTTCGCTTTCTTCGTTTCGAAGTAGAAAAGTATATTTTGAATAAAATTGAAAATAAAAATATTACACAACAGCTGTTTTTTACTATTTTCTTTGGCCAAAAAAAAGATTTAGTCTACCCCTTGCTGAAATCCTGGATACGTCGGTGTCCGACGCATCGCCAGCGAGCTGTAGTAATTCTACGATATCCACTAATGCTAATGTTAGAATCATCCTAGTTGACGTTGGACCTTAAAGGGTTAATTTTAGGAAAAGTATCGCAAAGTTTAATTCAACGAAAATCTTAATATTTGAAACTTTTATCTAAGATTTCAATAATTATAATGTCTAACTTAAGTCTGAATATCATTTATTGTGCTGTAGTTACACTTTCGATTCAAAAGTTCGATTTAATAAAAATTAAATTATCATTAAGGATAAATCAGCAACTAAAATACTTAAATCGAAATTTTATTTGTTAATGGAATGAAGAGCAAAACTCTATAAAGAATATCTTTCCCTTTGCTCAATATAATTCTTATAGATAAATAATTAACAATGATCACTTATTGACAGATCTGCAGATCGTTGAAATCGAACATGTTTGAAACTCGAAATGTTTGTACTTTTAAAAATTATTTTATCATCATACACTTTTTTTTTGCCTGACGTCATGTACCTAAATATGAACTGGCAAGAAAGAACAAAGAAACGATTCTTTCAACATTGTAAAGTAATAATATTAGACGCAAGAGTTGACACAAAATACGTTTAGAATTTAGAAGTCAATCATAACGGGTACGGAAAAATACATTCTTTCGTTTTAGAGAAAGAAAAACGAATTAAAAAGACAGACAGCGTTATAAGCATATTCTAATAAATATAATCGAAAATGTATATTTTCATGGAATTTTATTGAACAAGGAGAGAAAATCAAAGAAACTCTATGCTGAGCTAAAATGAGAAATACTGAAATTTCTAATTAGTATATTAATTTGCTCCAATCACTCACGAAAGTGAAAAATGAATTTGATTTTGTTTTAAAAAATATAAAATGATGACTTACTGAATCAGAACTGTCTCTAATTGACGATTGCGGCACTTGATTTAATTTGACAATATTTGTTTTTGCGGACGGTGTTGCCATGTTTTAAAATTTTTATCAAAGACGAACAAAATGAAGAAGATAGAAAGAGTATGAAATGTATAAAACACTGAAAGACGAGGTCAGAAATTGTACAACGAAAAAAAAAAATTGCGTGAAATAGAATAAGGGATCAAAAGATCCACTTGTGATTGTTGCTTCGTGTATTATTCTAAGAACTGCAATCTGAATCCGGCCATTTGTCTAGGTATATTAAAAATCATCTAAAATACGATATGAAAAGGAACGGAATGAGTAAATGGCTGTTGATATTTAGTATTATCTTCGTATAATAACACAGAATCGATTTAGTCTTGAAAGAACTTAGTTGTTAGTAGTACAAGAGGCTGCAGAAACAATCGTTTTTCGACAAAGCAAAAAATACATTTTATTGGCATATATCCAGACACTAATAGATAGAATATAATTGTCTGAATGGATTCATCTAGTATCTTTTTCAATCGATACTGCCAAGTGAGCTGTGAAGAGGTACAATACGTAGCAATAGCAATAAATTCTAAAGCATTCAACAAAATAATTAGCTTTGTCGATTAATTTCTTAGACGTCGCCCACTCGAATTTCGATTATTATTAGGTTTAACCTATATCCGTCAACTCTTTCATTATACTAAAACAAGAGAGATATTCACTTTACTTTACGCACAATTCCTGGGTACTTAGTATACAAGATACAAAGATCATCTAATAACATAAATAAATAATAACAAGTATTATTATCACTCATCACGATCCAGACTTTTATAAATAGTGAGCCATTTTTATTTTGGATTCACTAGGAAACCACACAGAAGTGTCTCATGTTAAGAGTCGCAAGAAGAATATGATTAACCTAATAAATCTAACAAATTTTTCGTCATCCATAGCACTTCTTATATTATAATTATTGATTTTAAAGATTATTATGAGACTGATAGATGTCACAAGAAAACTGATTAGTTAAGGTGACACCTACCAGCCAGCTCGAAGTTAATGTGTGAAAAATATACTAACAACATGAAATAACTACTAACACTTACTGACGTTTCGACCGAAATTCGACAATTTGCATCAATTACAGAGTTCAGGCATGAACTACGCATTTGTCTGAATAACACATGTCTTGCGAAATGCAAAATACATAAGAAACTGTAAATGACATTACGTAGCAACGGATTTCACACGTGGAGATAATGGCTTAATGAAATGAGATCATTTTAACTTAATTTTTGTTAAGAAACTCATGCTTTTAAGAAATGATTTGCTGTGCTACGCAAGCTTAACATCTCAAACTGGAATCACTTATTACCTCTGCATTAACTTTATTTTTTCTTCACGTTGATATGTGGGTTTATAGAGAAAGTGTAAAACTGCCACGAACAAGATTATAAATCATAGACGAATTTATTATGATATTTCCGCGGTAGGTCGCTGCTACCATCATCAGACAATAAACGTTTTACAAAGTGTCAAAAAGAAACTTTAGTGTATATATATATATATACATCGAATAGTGTAAAATGAAAGAAAAACACATGGAATAATACAAAAGACGCTTCTTTTGTTTGTAGAACTCGGTTTTCGGGCCAATAAAACTGCACTCTTCGAGTGCTACAATACTTTTAATTTGTATTTTACTTCATTAATTGCTGTTCCACGAAATTAACTTGTTAACAAACTTTCTCTTATAACTCTTCGCTTCTAGATTGATCATCAATCTGAAACAGAAGAGTTAGCTTGAGACTTTAGCATTGGAGTCTAATGCTAAAGTCTCAACATTATTAAAGTTCATTGTATGATTGTTGGTATTGCAGTGTTGAGCAATAAGTAATGTTAGTTTATCTTTATGAATATCGTTCTTGTGTTCTGTCATTTTAGTCGTTTCATATGATTAGTCTCTCCTATGTACCGCTTATTACAGTCTTTACAGTTTACGCAACAGACGAGTTTTTTCTCCTTTCGAGTGTCGTCAGTTCCTTTTTGAATTGGTAAGAAAATATTTTTCAAGGTAGATGATTTCCGATAGGCTAGATTGATTGTAAGAGTTGGAAGTAGTTTTTCAGTTAGTTTACGAATTCTTTGAAAAAAAGAAAAAAAAATTTTCTATACAAAAGAAAAACCTGTACTCAAAATACATGTAGGGATCTGGAGTAACCTGAGATAAAATAAGAATGATTTGAAAGGTATCGTTGTATTTCTACTAGTCTTAAGCTCCCAGGTAAATCATGGCTTGCAAGATCTGATGTTTTCTTGTGAAATCTTGTAATACGATCTTGTTATAACATAATGTAAGATCTTATTGAATCTTGTACCTTCTTGTCGTAAGATTTTTGTAGATCTGATTATAAGAAGTGACAAGATCTTGTGCGATTCCGTCTGATTTCGTAAGATTCATATAAGAATTTGTAAGATTCTGTAAGAAACATAAAAACTGATTCTTGATGTAAGAACTTATAGTAAGATTTCATCACATTTCGTAAGATTCTTGTATGATTTTTTAAGATTTTATAAGATGAATCCGTTTCTATGATTTTCCGTGAGATTTTATAAGATCGTATAAGATCTTGATCTGATTTTTTGACTTAGGGAGGTATAGAAGATCAAGCGTATGATCTTGTAAGATCAGATGAATTCTTATAAGATTCTTATAAGATTATCTTCTTATAAGATTATATAAAATCTTGTGACTTCTTATAAGGTCGTATAATTTACTTCAGCTTCTTTCTGTAAGGTCTTATAAGATCATACAAAATCTTGTACATTCCTGTCATAAGAAAAATCTTATAAAATCTTATAAGAATCTTGCTGCAAGATGTCATATGAACTCTTGTAAGATCTTATAGAAAATTGATAAGAATTTATAAGATCTTTTGAAATCTTGTGACTTCTTATCATATGATCCTCCAAGATCGAATATGATCTTGTAAGATCTTTCAAGATTTTGTTATCTGATTCTTGGACCAGGACTGTTCTCAGACAAAAAAAGTTTTAAGCATAACGATATATAGAACATTCTTCTACACGCTGATGTATCGGAATCTTCTAATTAATCTTCAGTAACTCATTTTCGATATAAAAATTACTGAATTAATGAGTAATTATTTCACGGAATATTACCCTCACAGTTCATGACACATATTTTTTTACAGAATAAACTAGTTTTACGATCAATTTTAATAATTACAGTTAAAAAATTCAATAAAATTTTTGTCAGTGCCAGCGATCAGAAGTTCCTCTTGTGTTTTCAACCATCGTCTGTCAAATGCGCGGAAATTAATCATGGTTAAATTAATTAGGGTTTAATTAAGTTGATCATATTGTTGAATTTGTTTATTAAATGACGCTACATAGCAGTAATCCAAACATGTCAACTCCTTGCTCCAATTAACTACACAGCAGTTACCTAAAGAGAGACGATGGTATACTCTCCTTTTGTTTGTCATACACGGTAAAAAAAAGCGCCCACTAGAAAACGTCGACGAAAAGTATACTAAAACAAGCGTCGACAAAAATGAGTCCACAAAAATTCGTCCAAGCATAGTATTCAAGTGCATACTGCATAGATGACTCGTTTCACTGCACTAGCTTACCTCAGAAACGACTGATTTCCTGCAATAGCGGATCGGTCCAGCAGATCAGGCGTGCTTCCAAAGTATAGTGCGTTCAAAACTGAGTAAAATATTATTTGAAAACCGTTTCAAATTTTGTTTTTTCATCTAACAAAAAAACATACGAAAAGGTTCGTCCAGAAAATAACCGTCTAGCACAAAGCACACCAGGATGTGGCAAAAAAACCGCCCATTAAAAAGCGTCAACTTTTGGACGCTTTTTTATTTACCGTCCACCGTTTTCTCTCTGGTTGCAGAATGAGCAAGAAACAGATCCTCATTAAATATTCCATCTCTTTCTCCATCATCATGGTTCAATATTACGCCGAAAACAGTTCGAAAGTGGATTAATTTCTGCATCAATGAAAAGAGTCGCGCTGTAACATAGTGTTACCGTTGATGGTAATGCTGACTTCTCTGTCACAAAATTGCTGTGTACTCACAGAAATGCTCTGTGTTCTTGAAGAAAAAAGTATGGAAAAACAGCTAGTAATCTAAAGGAACTAATACCACTGAATACGCAGTTGACCTATGCTACTCACAGCGTTAGTCGCAACATGATCCCAGTTATCCCTCGAGGTAGATAGGTGGTAGGTAGGTTATTTATTAGGCAAGCATGCGTGTCCTGGAATCTTCTGCAGGATGATATCAAGTATACTCCTCGAGCTGATACTTTTAAATTTAAATTGACGACTAATTTTATTTCTTCGTTTAAACTACCACTAGTTTTTGAGCGTCGACTTGAAATTCACCATCTCCGCCTTCGTGTTGATTTTCCTCAGCTGAATGAGCCTTTATATCACCGTAAACTCGTCCCATCGCCCTCGTGTTCTGGTGGAGAAAAGGAAAGCACTACTCATTATTTTTTATTCTGCATACATTACGATCAGCAGAGGAACGAGCTTTTCGAAAAACTCAAAGTGCTGTTGAATTGTGATAGAATTCACCTTGATCAGCTGCTTTTAACAGATGTAACAATTAGATAACTGTCAGTTGAGCAAGTAACTGAAGTCTTTTCAGAAATACTGCACTTTATCAAAGTACTGGGCGGTTTATGCCTTAGGGCCCTATTATTGTTATCTTTTTCTTTTATCCTACTGACACACATGGATCAACGTATTTATTACTAAATTTGTGTCTCTTCCCTCTATTATACACATATACCACTACCTCATTCAATCTTTGTTTTGTATAAATATTTCTTTAATGTAGACTCGTTTTTTTCTTAATGGATTTTTTTTTGATTAATCTGCTCTTTTTTTTCTTCTTGTGGGCATACAATGGGGCTTACCTCTACTTACCTACTTCTTATTGCTATGTTATTAAGTATTTTCTATAGTAAACCGTCAAGATTAAAAAAAAAAAGTCCGAGTACAACACGGGTACACACAGTGTGAA